TCGATGATAATCATACTGATTGGGTTTCATGTGTACGTTTTAGTCCTAATCAAAAAGATCCATTGATTGTATCAGCTGGTTGGGATAAACTTGTTAAAGTAAATATCTTTGTTTTTCTTTATTTTATAATTTATTTATTGAATTAAATGTAAAGGTTTGGAATTTAACTAATTGCAAATTACGTACAAATCATTATGGTCATAATTCATATATAAATACAGTTACAGTATCACCAGATGGTTCATTATGTGCTAGTGGCGGTCGTGATGGTAAAGCTATGTTATGGGATCTTAATGATGGAAAACATTTATATACACTTGAAAGTGGTGATATTATTAATTCATTATGTTTTTCACCTAATCGTTATTGGCTTTGTGCTGGTAAAAAAGAAAACAATAAATTATATTTTTTGAAATATTTTATTTATTTATTTTCTAGCAAGTGGTACATCAATTAAAATCTGGGATTTAGAAACAAAAACAGTTGCTGATGAAGTTAAATCAGAAAAACAATGTACATCATTAGCATGGTCAGCTGATGGCCAAACATTGTTTGCTGGTTTTACTGATAATCAAATACGAGTATTTGAAGTTCAACATCGTTAAATGAATTTAACAAGGCAATAACAACAGAAGAATACTTAACATCGATGATAATTATTATAGAAAAGAAAAACAATTTTTTTCTTGTTTTTGTAAACCGACTAATTAGTTTTAATCTTCTCGTTGTTATTATTGTTGTCATAAAAACAAAAAAAGAACGAAAATGATCATTAGTGCCGGTTTTATTTAAAAAAAGGGCATGTTGAAATATTTTCATAAAACAAAAATAAAAAAAAATCGAATATCAAATTTAGGGTTATTTTTTTTTAATATAAAAAGATAGAGTTTAAACCATTGACTCTTGAAATAGACTTCAAATTTTTATTGCTCATAAAAAATGTAATATTAAAAATTATTTTCTGTAAATGTCGGAATTTATTATAATGTGCTAGATGTTGAAAACTTTTTTTGTCAATATATTTAATGTTGTTGAATAGAGCACATCGAGTTGCCTATGAAAAATTACTTTGTTGATTTTCGAAAACGAGTTTTCTCTAAAAATATTAGAAAACAAGACTAAATTCTAAATATCATAATTAGAGTCATTCATTATCATAGATATGAACATTTTTGTTTTATTTTGTAGAACATTACAAGTATTATTTCGTGATTCTACGAACAAAATTGACCAAAACAAAAATATTATATACATACGATTTTTTGGTCAATTTTCTTTACAGAATCAAGAAATAATCTTTATAATGTTCTAGAAAATGAAAAAAAAATGAAATAATTGCATATCTGTATTAGTGGATGACTCTAATCATGGTATATAAAATTTAGTTATTTTTCCAATACTTCTAGAAAGAAAACTTGTTTCCACAAATTAGAAAAGTAGCTTTTAATAGGTAACTCGATGTACTCTAACCAACGACACTACATAAATTCAAAACAAAAATTTTCAGCACCTCACCACCAACGACAAAACAATTGTGAATCATATTTTTTTATATGAAATATAGAGTTAGAAGTTTAAGACGAAGATACAAACTGCTGGTATATCGCTTATGTCTTTCTCAGTATATTTATGAATAACATTTGTGTATAAATCATTGCATGCTTCAGTGGTTACATTCTTCAGTTAAGAATATAATGTTGAAGAATGGGTATAGTCAAGTTATTGCCTTGATTTTAACGCTACTGATCTAGTGTGAAACATTATCAAGCAGAAAATTAAAGAAAAAGAAAATGGAATCGCAAAGTAAATTAGTCGATGAAGCCATACAATGCCTTATCAACAAGAAATTATTTAATAAACGTATATAAAAGATTCAAACGATGTGTCAACCCTTTGTATATCCATTTTAGACTTTTAATTATAATGAAACAGTTTATTCTTAAACTATTCATATCTATCTTCATAAAAGTGTTTCATCCACAAGCTATATATTTAATATTAAAAATACGATTTGCAATATCTTTGTTACCGGTAGTTACTGTTAAATTTGCATAAACTTTTAGAATGTTTTTCATTCACGTATAAACAATCTTTTAATCAACGTCTTCTGAAAATTTCAGTAAACTCTTTCATATAAATCTTCCAACTTTAAAAACTGCGAAAGTTTCTTTCAATATTGCATAAGTAACTAATAAAAACAAGGCAGTTAAAGAAAATAAAAAAAATTGTTTTTAATCATCGGACAATCTGTCCATTTACTTTTTTATTTTATCAAAGAGTTATCTAATACACTAGAGAATAAAGATAATAAGGTTTTAAAAAGTTTATGTCACTAATTCTTTTGACCTTCAATTGATTTTGGAACTTCTTTTGATTCAACAAATGGTGCTTCAATTTTTAATTGACCATCATCAGTTAAATGAGATTGCATAAGATCAACTTGTGTACCAGGTGGTAATGTTGTTGATTTGAAGAAGAATGATCGTTCAGAACGATTGGCATCTTTATGTCGATGTTCACCTTGAACAGTAAGTTCATTATTTTTAACTGATACTTTGATTTCTTGTGGTTTAAAATTTTTCATTCCAAGAGTTAATTCCAATTGTTTTTGATTATTTCCTTTATCAACAATACTTGGTTGAAAATCAGAACCACCCAAAAATCCAGCATAATCAAAAAATGGATCACGATTTTCACCAAATTGTGCTAAACTTCGATTATCATTTCTTGCTTGTTCAAGTCGACGTTCAGCTTCAGGATTTTTAATTGGTACTTCAACAACCAACATATTATTTGGTGTTACATATGAAGCCAAATGAGCTGCATCTACACACACACACACAAAACAAATGAATAAAACTATTTAATGCAAATATGATTTTATTACTTACCAGCATGTTCAGGAAGTTCATATGATTTTCGAAGTTCTCGAACATTAAAATCACCATCTGGCTGACGATCTTCTTGTCTAGCTTCGACAATTACTTTTCGACCGTCAACTTTAGTTTTAATTGATTCAGGATTGAAACCAGCAACATTAAGTTGTACACGAAATTTTTCTGCATGTGGTTGTACCGATGTTGGTTGAGCACTATGACCATGATGTGTTAATCGAAGAGGCTCATTAACCCATCGAAAAGCATTTGGTCGAGTAGCAAGAGCTGTTGGAAATGTATCAAAATCACGCCATGGATCGAAGAAATCAAGTTGATCACCAAAAAAACGATCAAATGGATCATCGAAAACCCGATAACGATGAATTGGAAAGAATGACATTATGAAATGTATAGATAAAGTTAAACGATGAAGTGAATATATTAACAAGAGTCACGTCTATTTATATATGCATCATAAGAATGAACCTATTGAACTTTCGAATATTCTAGCAGGTTCTAGTACTTTATTTATCTATCCTTGTTACATTGTGTTTTCTCTTGCAGCCCTTGCCTCTCTCTCTCTCTCTTTGTCTGACTATCTATTGTTATTTTGTTCGATTCGATTCTGCCGGATAGAATATTGCGTTTAGTCGTGTGCGCAAGATAACTACCCTTTGAATGTACAAGAAAAAAAGAAAGAAATAGTGCATATCAAGGCCTGGATATAATCATAAATATAATTTTTGATACAGATATTTTGCATTTACTCGAGTCTACTTCTTGCGTCAGTGGAATCTCTAGTTTAAACTACTAAGATAGATGGCAACTATTAGTAGAACTGTTGTCAAATTTTTTATTTTTATTTTCTTAGAAAATTGTTAGAAAGAAATGCTTTGAAAAATTTATCATATTTTCGGAAGTATCTGATAGGTTTTTATCAAGATAAATCATGGTTAAAAAATGATCTTCTCGTATATCTATTTAATACTTACATATTAATTACTAGAGAGAATAAATACTCAATTTTCCGGGCTTAATGATAAATTCGTCTTGATTTGAGCTCCTTGAGTTTTCATATGTTGTGTAAATAAATGTTTTCGGCGACGAGAAAGGAAATTTCTTGTTTGTATAAAATAATAAGTTTTATAAATATAAACTAAGCACATATTATTGTAGCTAAATTAAGATCTTCTATCGTGTGCTTTTAAAAAAAATCATGATTACTCGAACTTTCTGTAGAAGCGGAAAAGAGTTACTTGTTAAATTAATTTTGTCTGCTTAAAATTCTTTTTTTATGAAAAAAAAAGATGATGGTTTTCAATAGCAACATCACGAACTTTTTTTTTGTCAAGACTCAATTTCTTGAGAAAAATTCGTTGCCAAAAAAGACAACTTTCGAATGTGCAGCTTTATAAATAATAATATATGAAGACAAAAATTTTTATTCATGATACAATATTTGATACACAATATATTATGTTAAATACTTTATTGAAACTTATGCTAATCACTCATTATGTTACGAAGAAATTTAGCAAATAGATTTGATATTTATCTTTTATCTCAGGTTGTTTCCTTCTAATCCTCTATATTTAAGAATGCAAAAATCAATGCTCAAAAACTATAATCATATGCATTCTATTGATAACTTGTAATATCCGAAATTTTAAATTCTACAGAGGCAATTGTTAATTTGAGAAATAATTCTATGGGTTTCATCGGCGTGATATTCTGCCTATAAGACAAATATTTAACTGATCTTACAAATTTTTATTTTTGTAAACTGTAACATAATATTATTTTCTCTAACCTTGAATGACTTTCCTATATTTCATGTTTACAGTTCATCTTCTAAGCGTTTCTGTAATAATGTTTACAAAAATGATGCCTTTCTTTCTATTTAAAATGCACGATTATCTATATATTTAAATCTTGTTTATTTCAAGCAAGAATAATTCAGGAATAATAAATAATTACAATAAAACGCATTGTGAATAATGATAAACTACAGTGGAACAAACTACATTTGATGAACGATCACAGTCAAAAAGCAAAAAAAAAGCTACAGAAAAGAAATAATTTCAGTAAGTTGAACCGAAAATCTATCAGTATACGTCTGGATAATTATTTATCACCTTCCTTCTTCGCAGCTTCAGCTGGTTTTGGTGCTTTCTGTGGCTCTGCTGATTTTGGTGTTTTCTCTGATTCAATTGGTTTTGGTGTTTCCTTTTGTTCAATAAATGGTGCTTCAATTTTTAATTGACCATCCTCTGTTAAATGAGATTCAAGATGATCAACTTGTGTGCCAGGTGGTAGTGTTGTTGATTTGAAGAAGAATGATCGTTCAGAACGATTGGCATCTTTATGTCGATGTTCACCTTGAACAATAAGTTCATTATTTTTAACTGATACTTTGATTTCTTGTGGTTTATAATCTTTCATTCCAAGAGTTAATTCTAATTGTTTTTTATTATCGCCTTTGTCAACAATACTTGGTTCGAATTCTGAACCACCTAAAAATCCAGCATAATCAAACAATGGATCAAGAAATTCACCGAATTGTGCTAATCTTTGATCATCGCTTCTTGCTTGTTCAAGTCGACGTTCAGCTTCAGGATTTTTAATTGGTACTTCAACAACCAACATATTATTTGGTGTTACATATGAAGCCAAATGAGCTGCATCTACACACACACACACAAAACAAATGAATAAAACTATTTAATGTAAATATGATTTTATTACTTACCAGCATGTTCAGGAAGTTCATATGATTTTCGAAGTTCTCGAATATTAAAATCACCATCTTCTTGTCGATCTTCTTGTCTAGCTTCAACAATTACTTTTCGACCTTCAACTTTAGTTTTGATTGCTTCTGGATTAAATCCAGCAACATTAAGTTGTACACGAAATTTTTCTGGATGTGGTGTTGATAATGTTGGCTGAGCACCATGATGATGATGATGATGATGTGTTAGTCGTAAAGGTTCATTAACCCATCGAAAAGCATTTGGTCGAGTAGCAAGAGCTGTTGGAAATGTATCAAAATCACGCCATGGATCAAAGAAATCAAGTTGATCACCAAAAAAGCGATCTAATGGATCATCGTAAACACGATAACGACGAATTGGAAAGAATGACATTGTTATATTGAAGTAATAGTTGTAATGATAGTCGCGTTAAGACAGTTAGTTAGTCGTAATTGAATATTCAAATGTATGCTATATGCACAGATGCTCACACATATATATATGTGGAAGGAATGCATGGATGTCGAGCGTTGTAGCATTCTCACGAATGTTCTCGAATACTCTTGTTCGACCGTTGTCATTCTAGGGTGTTCTCTTTCTGTCGTTGTTTTTTTTCTTTTCTCTTCTCACTTTCTCTCTCTCTCTTTCTTTCTGTCTGTGCGTTTTTTTCTTTTCTGTTGACAGGCAAATATCGTGCCAAATGTGCGTGATAAACAACTAGGCTTGATGTTTTTATGTGTTCATTTAAGAATTTGTTGTTTTTTTTTGTGTGAAGCGTAGAATAATCTGGTTTGGAATTATTAGCAATGATTAGAAAATAATTCATTTTATTCGTTGTCATCGTTTTCATGTCTATAATAGCATTGACGAATACATCATCTTCATAAAAGTAGTGTTTTGTGGAGAAGCGTTTTTTTTTGTCAATGAAAAGCTATCAAACAAGACTTTTTGTTACTCAAAATGTTCTACGTTATTCAAATCTATTGCATTGACACGTATACCAAAGAAAAAAAGAATGTGATAAAGCAAAATTCAATCGAGTTTTTATCATTCTTCACGTAGTTTGTAGTGTTTAAACGTCGTCGTTTCTCGTTCATACCAAACGATTTTTTTACAAAAATCGTCACTTCTAATTTGTTGCGTTAAGTTCTACTACTTTACATCTATAGTACATTTTCTAATAGCTACTTCGTATGCTGTATCAAAATTTGTAAGCAGCGTTTATCCTATACGAAATTGTACGGTCTTTTTTTCTGTGATAAAATACGTACATATCTTTTAACCTTCACCTTTTATGTTGTGAGTAATAGCCGCAGGCAGATGACTTGAATATCTTTAAAAGAAGAAACAATGCCGACATGTTTGACGTGATAATAGTTCAGTATTACATACATTCCATTACATATTCTAGGCAGACTATTGAAGCGAACAATCTTATTGAATATAACCAGAATGTAGTCAAATTTGATGCCTCTCTATAGCATTATTAATATGCTAATTAGAAAACGAAAATTTTTTTAAATATGAAAGTACTTGTAAAAGAACCGATCGTTTAGCTAAGTTATTTCTTGTAAACCTTATTGATAGAAAAGTAACATTAGATTAAGAAGATTTTCTAAAAAATTAGTCAAATCATTGTAAATAATGAATCGTTTATTAAATTTTTTTTTANTGAGCAGCATGATGATGATGCGTTAATCGTGAAGGCTCATTAACCCATCGAAAAGCATTCGGTTGAATGGCAAGAGCTGTTGGAAATGTATCAAAATCACGCCATGGATCAAAGAAATCAAGTTGATCACCAAAAAAGCGATCTAATGGATCATCGTAAACACGATAACGATGAATTGGAAAGAATGACATTGTTATATTGAAGTAATAGTTGTAATTGTAGTAATGTTAAGAAACTTGTTTAATCGCAATTGAATATTCAAATGTATGCTGTAGACACAGCTACTCAGACATATTTATATGGGCAAGGAATGTAGGGAAATAGAGAGTGGTAGACTGGTCGCGAATATTCTCGAATGTCTGTGTTTGATTGTTGTCTTTCTACGGTGTTCTTATTCTTTTACTCTCTTTCCTTTCTCTTCTCACTTTTTCTCGACGCTGTGTTTTTTTTTGTAGTAGTTGACTTGGATTGTGTTGAATACGTATCATAAAAGAATAGTTTTGATAGTTTCGTGTCTAGTACATGCCAGTAAAAGATTCGAATTTCACTTAAAAAGAAAAAAGAGTGGCGGTTGGTGATGACATATTTATGACATTGTGAAAATTTATAAAGATTTGCTTATGAAAAGGTTGGTTTTATATTGCCTGTAAAAATGTTAATATAATATTTGAGTACATCGACTTCTATACTTCTATACTTCTATAGGTGTTGTTCAATTGCACCATCAGAAGAAGAATTTTGTTTTGTTGATTTTTTTTCCTGCTTTAGAACTATTTCATGTAGAGAGAGATGTTGTATTTCAAAATGCAACTATTCGTATAAGTTGAAATGTATTTTAAAAGTTTCCAAATAAAAAAAAACTTTATTTGTACAAGATAAGCTGTGCAGGTCTTTAGATAAATATCAGAACTTTTTTTTTTCTATGCAAAATAAAGATGACACACCTCAATTGTTTTTCATCTAGATTGCTATTGAAAATCTATTATTTGAGTTATAAGAAATTAATATCTGTTTTCTTTATTAAAGAAAGATTTTTTTTTATGGGGTTCAAATTTCTTTTTTAACTGTCTATTTTTCTTTTGTAATCTATTTAAAGCTTGCTGTTACAGACTGCTTTGAAATCTTATATTTTGCATGTTTTTGATTACGGGTCTTCGATAGCATATCATTTCTCCACACCTCTCACACTTATTTACGTCTAGATGAAATCTGTTGAATATTTTTCTATTTCAACTACTTTAGTTGCAGTATCTAAATAATACATTCTTTTGCAATAGCTTTTTTATTCACATAATTCTCGATTGTTGAGAATTTAGGAGGGAGAAATGGTGTGAATAATATATTATTTGAGTTTTAGCAATTATGGAATTGTAGATCAGCGATTCTAATTTCTGTCGTTTGACGTTCCTGCTGTTCTATATTCTTTGAAAAATAATCTTCTATGTCATTGTGAAATTTATAAATAACTCGCGTTTCATAAAGGTCACCAAGAACAGATCAATATAATAAAAGTAGGTCAATAATTTCACGCTCAAGACTGTCAATGTTCTAAAATTAGAAAATTATTAAAAACTGCAGCAAAATGAAAACTAACAAGCCGCACCTTTTTTGTCTCAAGTATTTTCAATAAAGAGCAATTATTTATTGTTTTTACTTGTAAAATTTGAAATATTTCGAAGCTTGTTTTCAACAACTATTGACAGCATCCAAAAGATTTTCACATTACATGATACTTGAAACCAGAAAACATTTGATTAGAATTTAATTCCTTTTTATTTATTAAGTACTACATTACAAAAAAACAATGAACTATGATACAATCAAGAAAAAAAAAGAATAATAGTGTCTGTTGCACAATTATTAATCGCCTTCTTTCTTCTTTTCGCCTTCAATCGATTTTGGAGTTTCCTTTTGTTCAATAAATGGTGCTTCAATTTTTAATTGACCATCCTCTGTTAAATGAGATTCAAGATGATCAACTTGTGTGCCAGGTGGTAGTGTTGTTGATTTAAAGAAGAATGATCGTTCAGAACGATTGGCATCTTTATGTCGATGTTCACCTTGAACAATAAGTTCATTATTTTTAACTGATACTTTGATTTCTTGTGGTTTATAATCTTTCATTCCAAGAGTTAATTCTAATTGTTTTTTATTATCGCCTTTGTNTAGTTTTCTTTTCTTGATCACAGAATTATCTGTCTACTTTTCATGTATCATAACGGTTCCTTTAGTGATTGATGTAATGAACACATTATCTGGGTGTGTGGGTGTGCAACAGTAACCGAATCGAACTGAGTTTTTCGGGTTCGGGTTCGGGTTCTGTCTCTGGTACCAAACATGATACAAAACCAGGAATTACAGTACATGTATATCGTTGTACAGCGGCGTATCCAGGATTTTAAAACCAACGGGCGAACTTCTCTTGTATCGGAAAAAAGCGATGGGCGAACACTGAAAAAAATGGGCGTAGAATAATAAACCCTCAAAAAGGGTGTATGACCACGGCATAAACCCTTTTTAGGTTTATGGACGTAATCTACCCTCTCATAAACCCTTTTTTTTCATAAACCTTGGCAAGGGTTTGCTATACGTTGCACTTTCATAAACCCTTCGGGGTATATGAGCGGTAATATACCTTTAAAAAGTTGATAAAATTTATCAACCCTTCAGAAAAGCATTCATTGATCTACCCTATAGAAAAATTCGTAGCGTGAAAAACGCTTTTCTGAAGGGTTGATGGATTTTATCAGCTTTTTAAAGGTATATTACCGCTCATATACCCCGAAGGGTTTAGGAAAGTGCAACGTATAGCAAACCTTTGTCAAGATTTATGAAAAAAAGGGTTTATGAGAGGGTAGATTGCGTCCATAAACCTAAAAAGGGTTTATGACCACGGCATAAACCCTTTTTGAGGGTTTATTATTCTACGCCCATTTTTTTCAGTGAAGTGGGCAAGGTTTTTATTGATGGACAAAAACGTGTTTGGCTCAACAAAGTGCCAATGATGTAAAAAATTCATGCATAAGTTAACGCTGAGGATTCTTCCAATATCTATCTGTGCAGCGCACACACACATGGACATTTTCCCTATGAACTAGGTCATTTCACATCTTGGCTTTTTCCTTTATGTTTCCACATATACGACATTGAATTATTCCTTTCTCCTCTATGAGTCACTATATGTATATCTATCTACATACCGAATGTCCCAAAAGTCCTGTCATGATAAGCTTTTTGATTATCTCCACTATTTGATTTAACTTCATCGACTTTTTTTCTTTTGAGTGATAGATGGATGCATCGAGTTTTTGCTATACAAGCAAATTTCCTAAATACTATCCTAAGATATCATCTTTCGGCGAAATACAAAAAATGGATAGACTTTTTTCTGTTTCCAGAAAAATAATGGGTGCGCGGCAGATTAAATGGCCGCACTTTATGTTTCAATTTCCACTCACTTAATACATTGTATTAGAAAACAAAATATTCCACAAGATGCAGCGTGAAAAGCTCTACAATTTACAAAGAACAGTTTATTTTATATATGAAGTAAGAAAAAAAAATTTCGTTAGTGTAGAAAGAAAATGACATTTTCGAAGCGGGAAAATTGGTCGCACAGAGTTTTGGACACAGAGGTGCATATATAAAAATAAGTTGTTCGTTGTAAATTGTAGAGCTTTTCACGCGGCATCTTATGGTATATTTTGTTTTTTTTGCTTCCATAAAGCATGTTTGTTGATGAAAAGGCGAAATAACAAAGAATGAATTCGTCTTGTATTAAAAGAACATCGTTTTCACACGGTTGAAATTTGGTCGCTTAAAATTTTGTCCATTCTGAAAACAAAAAGTGCAGCTATAATATAAGGAGTCTAGTGTAAATTGTAGAGCTTTTCACGCTGCATCTGGTGATATATTTTGTTTTTTTAATACAATGTATTAAGTGAATGAAAGTTGAAACATAAAGTGTGACCATTTAATCTGTCGCACCCATTATTTGTCTGGAAATACAAAAAAGTATAATTTTTTGTATTTGGCTGAAGGATGATATCTTAGGACAGTATTTAGGAAATTTGTTCGTATAGGAAAAAACTCGATACATCCACCTATCATTCAAACGAAAATAAGTCGATGAAGTTAAATCAAATAGTAAAGATACATGAAAAATTTATTACGACAGGACTTTTGGGACACCCGGTATATGTATCTTCGTGTGTGTTCTCTTGATATGTGCTCTTGTTTCTCTTATCTTTGATCTATCCTTCTCTTTTCTGAAAAGTCAGGAAAGCTTCTGAAACTTGAACATTTTTGTGATTTTTTCTGACCTTCTGATTTTTCTGATTTTGGTACTTTTTTTCTAATTTGTTGCCGATTTCAAATGTTTTTAGATGATGGCTTTACTAGTGAAATTAATTACGACAATAACTTATTAATATCATAGATCCGTATTGCACTACCTTCTTTTCTTTCTTAATCTTTTGTAGTTTCTGAGTTCTGCAACCACTGACGAATACTTTAATATATCAGTAATTTTTTGCGTTATTGAACTTAAGAATGAATGTTAATCGTTTTTCTTGAACGATTTTGTAAACATATTTTAGCTCAAAAACATTTATGGAAGGCATTTCAAACAAAGAAAAACTTGAAAAATAATATGGAATTTATGTTCTGTAACCTTTATTATTTTTGGCAAAATTTTTTCATCTGCATAGTTTATATATGATTTGTTTTCGCATATTTTTCGTAAACAGAGTTTTGGGTTTCGTAAAAGAATCGGACACTAGGTGTCTTTTGCTAGCAAAGAGATTGCTCATAGTCGAATCAAATGAATGCTCTCACTCATAGACCAACTAGTTTAAAACACGAGCTGCCAATAGCGTACACAGACCGAGATGTTTAAATTTCAAGATATATACAAATTGTTATGTGTCCACACTACGAAATTTCATCAACCCTTAGTTTTTTTTTCGTTATAGATGGATGGATGGAACACGACAATTTACATAAGGAGAAGCAATATCACACATAATCAAAAGCAATGTGACAGCAATTACAAGTTTTTGTTTATTACCTTTATAATTAAAAAAATGTTGTCTTAGATTTCGTAGATTTTGCTTTTTAATATGCGTGATATTGTTTTTTCTTATGTAAATGGTCGTGCTCCATCCAACCATGACGAAAAAAGAAAACTAAGCGTTGATGAAATTTCGTAGTGTGGACACATAACAAACTGTAAATTTCTTGAAATTCGAATATCTCGATCTGTGTATGCTATTGGCAGCTCATATTTTTAACTAGTTGATTTGACAGTAACAGCATTCATTTGATCCGACTATGATCAATCTCCTTAGCTAACAGTACACAATCTTTTACTCTAGGCTATATAATGTTTGTATTGTCTTTCTTTGCTATGAAATACTTTTGGAAATAAAGTGTGAGGCGGTAAACAAAAAAGTGAAGCATTTTGTGCAAGTATGTCAATATGATAGCCCTTTGTTTGCAAAAAGTTACTCTTTCTGATTAGTTTCCGATTTCGGAGAAAAAATTCTAATTTTTTTCTGATTTTGAAAACAAGAATTCCTATTTTTAAGTTTTCATCTAGCAATCCTGGTTAAAATAGCAAAAACGATTATTTTCTTCTTCTTTTCTTAATTCTTTATAGAAAGAACAAGCAAGGAGTGCATGTGTGATTCCGGCGAAATAAAAATAGTAGAGTTATTATCTAATTTCAAAAATGAAGAAACAACTCTGAAAAAGAGAAATTTCAATGGGCGAAAACTTCCTCATAAAAATTACAATGGGCAAATCTACAAATAAAATGGGCAATTACCCATTTGCCCCTCCCTTGACTACGCCACTGGATGGCATCAAAAAAGCTAGCCATCAATGCCGCCAATTTCTTTTATTAAAGCTGATGATTCGAACGACTTATATCTTTTTATTATAAGATTTGTTTGAATTTTTCTATTAAATTAATATTTTTTGCCGTGAAGAAATCGATTACTACTAAAAAATGGCGATTTTTATTTGCCACAGTGTGTTATGTTAGATGGCCTTGTACTTTTTCCTATTGGTTAAGTCTTCTAACTAATGACTCGAAAACCAAGTGCAAAATGTTTATGTGGTTGGTAATGGCGATTTGAGTAGACTCACAACGATATTTGGGTATGGTTTCTAACAAAATCGAACATTTTTTGTAAGAGTTTCAAAATATGCGTCCAGTGAGCCATGCAAAACAGACCAAGCAGAACAAGCGTAATAACCGTCAATTATCGCGACATGGATATTATTGATCTCAGTTACTGTCTGTATTGCATATATGCATATAGACTATGAAAATAAGAAATTTATGCACACATATGTCACAGGCAAAATTGGTTTTCTTTTGCCGCTTCTATCAAATTAAATTTTGACTAGGCAGAAATCGTTCTGTTCGTGATTATTTTATATCATCTAACTACCAATTTCTTTCATTTTCATGAGCAAAGTTCATTGAGTGTTAAATAGCTTTCGATATTTTCATTTGCAATATCAACAATGACATTAAAACAATCAACTTATTCTCGTCCTATTATCAATGATTTTGCACGTGAAAATTTTTATGAACTTGCTAAAAAACCATATTGATACGTTAAATCCTAAATTTCGTAATAAAGCTGTTATAACTCGTGTTCAAAGCAAAAAAAAGATAATCAATGTACTTCAGAACAAATTATCTAAAGAAAAGATTTCCGGTCGTTTTTCTCACTAATGCAAACAAACGTTCGCGCTTCGTCTTATCGCTGGTCATCGACTTTTGTGATTTTAAAGAAGTTAAACCTGTTCTTTTATACTAAGAGATATGCGACGCTTATCAATCAAGCCACAGCGTGTCGTAGAAAATTTCCTTTCTTTTAGACAGTCACCCCATCTCAACCGATTCTATTTGAGAATAAACTCACCCTATGAACACACATTCACTGGCAGGACAACAAGTATGGGTGAAGGGTGTTCGTATTCTGAAGAACTACCAACCAAACTATTTTTCCATCGCTTGCTCGATTCTTTTACACAGTTACTCCATATGAATCCATTTTCATCCCTTGCTCGGGAAACATTCGATTTCTTTAGACACTAACCCCATGTCAATCCATTCTCATCAAAACAGAGCATACAGCTACTGAAGATAAAAAACTAATTTACTCATAACAAAATTTAACCAAGTATCAACGTCCCCATGTCCCCATCATCAGAAAAAAATACAAATTCATTGCAGAAAAAAAATTTACACGTAACAAAAATTTCACCAATAATCAATGCCCCCATGTCCCCATGTGCCCACAATCGAAAAAAAAATAGATTCATCGAAAAAAAATACAAATTCATTGTAGAAAAAAAATTTACCCGTAATAAAATTTAGCCAAGCATCAATGCCCCATATCCCCATCATCAGAAAAAAATACAAATTCATATTTCAAAAGTTAATAAAGAATGTTGAAGCCTTTATATCACGTAGGATATCTTGGCCCTGGATTCGAATATTCCGCAACTGGATTCGCTCACAGTTGGGACCAAAGACTAAACTTTGCGGCCCAAGATAGAGCTCAACGAGCTCTATCCAATACACTATTTACTTTTTCTCCAATACTTTTCCAAGTGGCAGAAAAACCTAAAATACTGTAAAAAAATCAGCAAAAAATCCGATTTTTTTCGTACAGTGCACCGCGATTCGCACTGAGATCGGACCAAAGCTTGACAACCATACAAACAGATAGAATTCGACCAGCTCTATCCAATTGACACCTTTCAAGGTATTTTAGGTGCTTCTCTGTCCCCTAAAATCCCAATAGACTCCAAAATCCAGTGTTTTCACGAAAACCCGAGCGGGATTCGCTCCCAGCTGGGACCTAAAGGTGAAAATGACATAGATCGATAGAATTCGACGAGCTCTATCGAATTGACACCTATCAAGGTATTCTAGGTAATTCCCTCCCCCCTAAAATCCCACTATACCCAGAAAACCTATTTTTCTTTCAAATATTGAATTAAGATGATAAGGAGTATTTATTTTTCAATTTTAATGTAAAATAAAATTTCCTATATTATATACAACTTTCTTCTCTTTTATCGAGAAACAGAAAAAAAATTCAAATAGTTTTAGTTTTTCAAGTTCTGGATTAGAATAAATAAAAACAAAACATTTTATATTCTTTGTAAAAATTATTATAAAATTTTGAAAGGTAATCGCTTAAAAAGTAATAAAACGAATGAGATTTGGAAATAATTATGAAAACAATTCAATAATGTCGAATACTTCATGAAGAAAGTAGAAAAAGTTTTTAGTTCGAAAAAAAAAATTTCATGTATGATGTACAATACATACATGTATGCTGCTCCATCTTTCGTTTCTTCCATGCTGTTGATCGCAAGAAAGAAACCAATGAAATATTTTGCTTTCCCGTCGATAAATATATCGATGACTAATAGGAGGACGATGATCGCGATAAACAGAAAAATGTTTTTTTTTCCTTCTCTCTCGTTCTCCTTCATACCAATAATACTTCATTCACCAATCATTTTTTTTTCTCTTCCTCTACACATACCGGTCCTTCATGATAATCAGAACGACATATAAACAGAAAGATGCCATCATATTCCTGTCATTGCGAATAGATGAAATTCAAAGCAATACACACAATAAGAAAAAACCTAAATTAACATATGCAACGATGTACTAAAACATATTTAACACTTTTACTTGAGGAAAAAGAGAATTTGTTGATGTTTTGTTTCGTATACTTCTTAGAAAAACATAATGAAAAAGCAACATTATTTGAATGATTGTAGTATTAAGATCTGGATTTGCCCTTTCAGAGGGGATCCAAGCATTGAATCGTGCTGTAAAGGTACTCATTCGATAGAGCTCGTCGAGTTCTATCGATCTATGTTATTTTCAGCTTTAGGTCCCAGCTGGGGGCGAATCCCACTCGGGTTTTCGTTGAAAAACCAGATTTTGTGGCTATAGGGGGATTTTGTGGGGGAGGAAATTACCTAGAATACCTTGAAAGGTGTCGATTCGAAAGAGCTCGTCGAGTTCTATCGATCTATATCATTTTCAGCTTTAGGTCCCAGCTGGGGGCGAATCCCACTCGGGTTTTCGTTGAAAAACCAGATTTTGTGGCTATAGGGGGATTTTGTGGGGGAGGAAATTACCTAGAATACCTTGAAAGGTGTCGATTCGAAAGAGCTCGTCGAGTTCTATCGATCTATATCATTTTTAGCTTTTGGTCCCAGCTGGGAGCGAATCCCGCTCGGGTTTTCGTTGAAAAAACAGGTTTTCTGGCTATAGTGGGATTTTATGTGGGAGGGAAGTACCTGGAATACATTGAAAGGTGTCCATTCGATAGAGCGCGTTGAGTTCTATCTGTTTGTACGATTGTCAAGCTTTGGTCCCACCTCAGTGCGAATCACGGTGCACTGTACGAAAAAAATCGGATTTTTTCCTGATTTTCTGACAGTATTTGAGGTTTTTCTCCCGCTTGGAAAAGTATTGGAGAAAAAGTAAATAGTGCATTGGATAGAACGCGTTGAGCTCTATCTTGGTCCGGAAAGCTTAGTCTTTGGCCCCAACTGTCAGCGAATCCAGTTGCGGAATATTTGAATCCAGGCGCAAGATATCCTACGTTTTATATCAATTTTTTCATTACTCTCAGTTATGTACAGAGCTAATTTTGACTAGGCAAAATCATATCAAATATTTTCAAAAAAAAATTCTATCTTTAGTTCAATTCTGCCTGAATACCAAATTTGCCTGACACATATGTATGAAGTAAAAGCAAATTGAGAGTTGTCCNAAGAAACAATATTTCGAAATATTGGGCCCTGCTAAGTTGTAGCGGTAAGTCTTGACTGCATTTTAAGGTAATCTGGAGATCTGTATCATTAAATTTGGAAAAACAAAGTATATTACACGTATATTTTGATAAAAGAGAACTTCACTCAGAAAATAGACAACAACTGTGAGATTTAATTCTGATTGATATCACTTTTGCAACATGACAATGTCTCAACACACACATAACATCTCGTTTCTTCTATTATTCATAATTTAAAATATGAATTGTTTTGTCATTCTACTGATTCTTCGGATCTAACTCTTAGTGATTATTTCCTGTTTCCACTTTGAAAGGATCAATTCAGAAGAAGACACTATAATTATTGAAATTCATCAGGTGAATCATTACATCAACATATGAATTATCTATCTGAAGATGATTTCACAGCAGTTATACTAAGGCTTCCAGAGCATTAGCAAAGGTGTATTGCGGCAAAATGACAATACTTAGAGAAAGAAAAGTACATCTGCAATTATAATTCACTCAAGTTTTCTTTTTTAATAAAACCAGCCTCGGGATGTTTTAAGTGTCCTACGTATTCTTTTCCATCTCTCTATAATTTAGCCTAAAGGGTTTTCTGCCGAACGTAATTTGTATATAATACTTTCAAGTTGATAAAAACTTCCGTCACTTGAATTGTTAAAAATAGATCTAAGAAGCAAATACTCAACCGAAATATTCCAAGAACCTTTTAACCTATATCGATGTGCATTTTCAAATTTGAGTTTTTTTTTTTTTTTTATCACAGAAATCTAACAATATTTTTTTAATAGGATTCTAGAATGTAGAAGATCATGATATTCGACATTATGCTTATGAATTATAAAGAAAATAGAGTAGAATCTTCTTTTTCTTCAAAATTTATCATTTACATTGCAGGAAATGTAAAATAACTATACTAATAAATAAACGGAAATTAGATTTTAACAAAAGTTTCTTCTCATTAAAAATATAAGGAGAGATTTTTTTTACTTGGATTCAAAAAATCAGAATATACAACCAATGAAGAAAATATTTGAACTTTGTTCTTTCTTAAATTAAAGTCTTTTGCATTTTCATAAGATTTAGAAACGGAAATTACAAATTTTCAATCAATAAAAAAATTTCGATTTCTTTTTTCCTATTCACATCTATTCATCCATTAAGATTACTAAATCTTAATAATAGATGTTCACAAATGTAGCCGCCTTATTTGTCATTTACATTGTTTTTTTTCTATCTAAGTCTATCTTACAGGAAATTGAACCGACATAAAACATTCAAAATAAAATTTTCTATTAATAAAAAAGTTCATTTTGTTTCTCAAGAGATTTTATTATCTATACATTACATGTATTTGTAACGATGGAAAATGATTTCTTCACAAATTCGACTAATGTTTCAGAATCTTGTATAGCTTCACCTAAATAAAATAAGATATGAAAACCAACGAAAAATAAAAAAATATTCATTTTCTTTTTTGGTTTTCCTTTTTCTTACCAAGTCGACTAATAACAGAAACATATGGATCACTATCTTTAACATCTTCAACCCATTCACTCGATGATAATAAAAAACGTTGATCTTCTTGTGATAACTATAAAAGAAAACAATAAAACAAATAAAAGTTCTAATTTTATATTAGAATTATTAATTTAAACGATGAATGATAACATATATGAAATCTAGTCAGTAGTATATTAGGATATATGTCCATGATATAACTTACAATTTTTTTAACTTTATCCATATCACGTTGTTTTAAAAACTGAGCATAACTACTACTAACACTGCTAAAACGAGTAAATCGTGGTCCACAATCTAGATTTCCTGATAATGAATTAGGAATAGTTGTTGTTGCAAATTTATTTTTTGTTATTGTTACTGTCGCTGGCAATGTTGGTATATGATCAGGACCAAATGATGAATATTGTGATGTTTGCTCCGGAATATTCAAATGAATTCCAATAGAAGCTGTCGATTTCATATTATGTGACGCTACAGAATAATAATTGACTTAATAATGGTCGATGATTTCTAGTACATCATTTCATTTTCAATATTCCATTGAGAGAATTTTTTTTTTATCTTGTCATTATTATTAATTATCATGTCTCACACTATTTGTTAACAAAAAGCTAAGGAGAATCTTTTCTTTTTAGATTCTCTCATTTCTTTTCTTATTCGCTCTCCTTTTTTTTTCTGCTACACTTATTCCTGGAGCGCATCATTGTGCGTTGCTAAGGAAGACATAGTATAACCAGCTGTTAACTTAAAAATAGATAGAATATTACAAAAAGAAAAATAAGAGACAAGGCGGAAATAATGTATTCTGGTTCGACTTTTGCTGTTAGTGTAACATATATATATACATGAAAGCATGTGTGTAATACTTGTCAAAACTAGTTAAAACTGAACACGACATATATTCACACAAAAGGATGAATCCATTCACGCACAATAAAGTCAATCTCCTACTTGAAATAAGCTCGATGTTGATTCCATGTTAGTTTCTTTTCATAAATGTAAAAAAGAAGAAAGAAATCTTCATTACATCTTTTGTATCACTTTAATAATAATCATATCTTAGATAAAGATAAAATATTAAGATTTTCCTACTTCATGTTTTTGACATTATAATACTAATATGTGAAGAAATAATTAGAGAAAAAAGTTTTGTTAGAGAAGAAAAGAAAAATAATTGGACACTAATCTATAAGCTTTCAGATTATTTTGTTTCATATTCTATCATCATATTTGTATCGAAAAATTCATTTTTGATTTATTTCATTGTAAATAAACTTAAGTACTAAATATGTCTAAATAGACTGACAAGAACAAGAAAAAGGATTTTTGATCATTTGCAACTAATTATTTAGTTTCTTTTTATGGCATATTCTTCTTTTCTTATAGCTTGAATAGTCATTGTTCTTTAGTGCGCTCGGTACATAGACATAGAAATACAGATTACTGTAGCCTTTTATATGAGTAAGGAAAATACTAATCATTTTTAGACGTTGAGACATATTAAATAGAGAATCTTATCAAAACAAAAGCACACCTAGTTCTAATGTCTAGGATTATTAAAAGAATCTTATAAATCAACAAATAATTATGATTTTTATTACCAAATTTGTTCGATGTTTGTTATTAGTACTTGTTGTACTAACATTAGTCATAAAAATTGTTGCTGCTCCATCTTCCATATTTTGTATTGATGATTGTTGTCCTACGGCATTATTAGTTGTATTTGAATAATTAGATTGATGTTTTGAATCAGATGTTCTTTTATCTTTAGATGTTAATCGTTTTTTTCGACGACCACTACTTTGACGTCTTGATGTTGTTTTTCGTTCACTTAAAAATGCTGTAGCTATATTAGCTAGTGAAACATGTCGATGTGTTGATATCGGAGGCGAATCTTGACTTTTTCCACTTGTTCTTAAGTAAAGAAAAAAAGTCGGTTTTTTTTCAAATGCATTTTATGTGCAAATAAGTATATGAATACGAGAACAGCAGAAATAATTGTTAATTTCCGTCATAATTGCAAAATAAAAAAATCAGCATTTTCTCTCCTTTTTTTTATTATTTATTTATTTTACTTCTTGGTTTTGACCTGAGATAGGTCATGTACTTGCAATAGTTGTTTATAGATATCAATGACAAAAACATGAGATCATGATTCTTTTGCTTTTTTTTTAATAGAAGTCATTATTTGAATTCTTCAGAAATGATCTAATTTTGTTAATATGTTATATTTGAAAAAGTACAACAGTGACTGATAAAGGTTAATATAAAAAGTTCATTAGAATGTGTTTGCTTTCAAGTGAGATTTTTTTCTTCTAATTTATTATTTGATTATAACTTTAGCAGAGTTTATAAAGAGAAAGATATTCTATTAGTTGTGTTTCAAATAATCAGTCAAACAGTTTCTATTTAATCAAAATAAGAATAAATCTATCTTTTGGATCACTTTTGGTCAGTTTTAAATATTTTCGAAAATAATGGAACTCATATACGAGGCATAAATTTTAAAAGTTGATCTCTACGGTTTGTAAAAGGATCTTCAAAAACCACTGAGTCTGTTCACGACTTTGGTCTTACTTTGTCCGATGGATCTGAAAATTTTTGTCTGGAGCTACCTAGGATAATGTTTCAGTGATATGTTTAAACTTTTTGAAAAATATTAATCTTTCAATTGTCAAATTAAAACAAATACGGAAAGCAACAACTCAAAAGCCGTTTTCCAGTTGGTGCTTTTCATATATTTTTCAATTAAAAACCGAGAGATCGATATTTTTCAAATAGTTTAAAAACACCACTGAGGCTTTGTACTAGACACCTTCGAATAAATGTTCAGTCCGATCAGACAAGATAACAGCAGACTCGTAACTAGGCTTAATGATTTCTGAAGATTCCTTCACAAACCTCGAAAGAGCTGCTTTTAAAATGTTTTTCTCGAACATGAGTTCCATCATTTTCAAAAGTACTCGAGCCTGACTGTTTGTACTCACGCGGAGAATAAGAATTAGTCCAAAAGAGGAAGGGTTACCTTAACATATTTTATTTATATTTTCTCTTAACAACAGCCTTATTCGTTCTTGACTACAAATAAATTGATTGGTAAGTCCAAAAGAAAAAAGTTATTATTGATCCTTCCAAATTATCAAATGTTGATTCTAAACATCTGTCCATTTTCTCATCAAACATATACTGTCAAAACAAAAACAAACTTACATATTCATAGTTTTCTTTGGTACTTATAATATGCATAGTTTTCAATTATTTTTATTTCTAATTATTATTACTATCGAATGTTATACTTTGGTAAATTCAACACCACAAACAACAATTATTTTTATTCCACTTGATGAACGTTTTACAACAAGATCGATTGTATTAAATTTAGCTCGTCTTATTGAAGATGATTTTATATTATTAACACCACCCATAGAACTAATAAGTCATTGGAAACAACCAGCAGATACAAGTGTACTTTTTCATTGGATCCATGATCAAATAATAAATTCATGTTCGAGATCTACATCATGTTCATTATTAATATCAACTGAACAACTTATTTATGGTGGTCTTATTAATAGTCGAATAAGTAATACTTCATTAGATGAATTAAATTCAAGACTTGATACATTAGTTGAATTTAAACGTGAATTTGGTTCCAAACTTCAAATTTATCTTAGTTCTGTTATAATGCGTATACCAGCATATAATGGAGATTTTGAAGAACCTGATTATTGGGCTACATATGGTCGTCTTATTTATTTATGGTCATTTTATACAGATCGCTATGCTATACTTCATAATCCAGCTGATGAAGAACAAGTTCAAATATTAGAAAAACAAATACCAGCAAATATTCTTAATGAATTTATATGGCGACGTGAAAGGAATTATAATTTAACTTATACACTTTTACATGATTATACTAAAATTTATTTTGAACGTATTTGGTTAACACTTGATGATAATGCGGAATACGGATTAAATAAAGCTGAGGAAAGACAATTAATTAAATTAATTAATGATCCTTCAGTAAACATAAGTTCAAAAGTAAATATTTATCCTGGTGCTGATGAAGTTAGTTTAGCAATACTTAGTCAAATTGTTGTTAATAACAAACAACAACAATCATCAATACCAACAATTACTGTCATTTATAGAAATGTAACAACAAAAAATTATATACCAAATTATGAAGGAGCACCACTAAATGAAAGTATACCTAAACAAATAACAGCTGTCGGTGGACATTATATCGAATATGATAATGAAACATCTGCTGATATTCTCATTCTTGTTAATAATTGGTCAACAGATACACAACAAGAAGCAACTCAATTACAAACTTGTGAAAATTATTCAACATTAGAAATTAAAACAAATAAATCTATTATTGTTTATGCTGATGTACGTTATAGTAATGGTGGTGATATTTGTTTTTCACAATGGATATTAAATCGTACAATATTTGGTACATATGCTTATGCTGGATGGAATACTAATGGAAATACATTAGGTACATGTTTAAGTAATGGTGTTTTACTTAGATATTATTTGAATTCAAATTTTAATAATCAGTTAATGAATAGAGTATTAAAAGAAAATCGTCGATTTACATTATATCGTTTTATTGAAGATGTTCAATATCAAGCTTTTCTACGTCAACTTCTTTTTGAATATCTTACTATTATATCACTCGATCCATCAGATAAACTTAATAATGATTCTATATTTTATGAAACTTTTATTCAAAAAGGTTTTATATCATATAGAAATAAAATAACTAATGAATTTAATGTTAATAATGTTTATTATCCATGGAATCGAACATTTGAAATTGGTTTTCAATTAACAGATAATGAAAAATTTTAGAAATTTTCTTTAAAATATGATGATGTTTTTAATTGTAATAATAATAATAATTATGATTATTATTCTTTTATCCGAAAATAGAAACACTACTTACATAAAATTAATTATCCTATATCGAAATAAAATTCAATCAATAATTTGTTGTTTTTACCTTTCCAATCTTTCAGGCGATGTTCCTCGTTTAGAGTTTGTCATTGTTGTTCGCAGTTTTTTTTAAATTATAAAAATGAATCAATATGAACATGTTGTTCTTAGTAATAATAATAATAGTTATCTTCTATCTCATTATCTTTTTCTGGTTAATTTTACTTTTTTTTTCTTTTTCTTACTTCCTCTTTGTCTCGAACTAATTTTCATGGAGTAAAAGATATACAATACAATGAGATGAAACGTAAAAGAATTTCTTCTTCTCTATTATTTTCTCAAGAAAAGTATCATTTCTTACGCACGCCTGAGCATCATTCAAAGTTTTTTTAATATAAAATTATTATTTCAACCATACTTACACGTATGATTTCTAGAATAACTTGTTTTTTTTTCCATATGGTTCTATGTTCATGATTCATTATCTATATTATTATTATTATTATTAAT